GGGGTCCTCCCGTGCTGTAGTCCGACATGGCGCGGCGGGGCCGGGCCTGGCGCGGAGGCTGAAGCTAGGGAGGAGGCGGCGGCAGCGGCGGCGGCTCAACGCGGGAACAAGGCCTCGCTCCACACGGCCGCGGAGCACTCTGGGAACTCAGCGGCAGGGAAGACGACGAGGAGAGAGGGTCGTCCCCTCCCGCGGCGGCGTGACGGACGGTGCAGCTGGGCCAATGGGGCGCGGCCTTTGCTTCCCGCGCACCAATCACGGGCCTTGAAAGCGAGTGGCCAATCGGAGTGCCATGAGAGGTAGTGGGCGGAAGGCGCCGAGTGACTGACGATTCTTAGAGGCAATGGGCTAAGGGCTGCCGGCGCTGGAGGAGCAAATCGTGGAGGCCTGAGAAGGCAGGCCGCCTAATGAGGTGTGAGTTCTAGATTCCCGGGGCCGCCTCCAAATTATATTGATGGCGATGAGTCACGTGGGATGGAAGGCGGGGCTTAGAGAAAAGATCTCTTTGGACTGGTAGGGCGGGCACTCGTCGTGCACACAAGCCAATAAACGTACCAGAGAGCGGGTGATTGTAATGATTGTCAGTCAATTTAATCCAATCCCTAATAAGTATAGAGTGACGAGCTTGGATTTGCATTTAATTGCTTTTCTTATAAACCAGAATCCTTTTCTACCCTTCACTTCTTAGACCAATAGTTGAGCGACAAGGGCGGGTTTTAGATGATTGACGCTGCTCCCGACAAATGGCAATGAAGGAAACAAAATTGCCCAGTTTTGGTGGGAGCCAGTGGAAGCTCAGCGGCATTGGGGCGGAGTCAGTCACCAGACGGAGAGAGGTGATTAGCTGGGCCGGGAGTGAATGGCAGCCTACGTGGGCGGTGATGACCGGCTCACTAAATGCTAGCCTGCAGTCGGGGTTAGCGCCCCAGAGGCCTGGATGGGTAGGCCCGGCACGTGGCGTGCTTGAAGCTTTGTAGATCGGATGATACTGGAATGAGGGTAGCCTGAGAACTGGAGGAAACTCAGAGGCGATCTAGAGCCCCTTAATCTCCCAGCACTCAGGGGCCAGCTCCTCTCCCCAGCTTTATTCCTTCCCTACTGCCTTCACGTAAGGGATCCGAGCCCGTTGCGCCCATCGTAGGACCAAGGATCTCAGGTTCCCAGCTCTCCTCCTAGTACAGGCGTCCCAGTCATCCAGCTGAAACTGTATCCGGTTGTCTCCTGAGCCACCATTTAGTCCTGGAGCTAGGATAAGCCAACCAGAAGCCAGGCTGGAGACCAAACTCAGGTCTCGGGCTGTAGTCTGAGGTGGATCCCACAGATATCTTCTATGACAAGTCCCTAGTTGGCTTTTGAAACCGAAAACGGCATCAGTGAGCTCTTTGAGGTCCCTGGCGGGCTCTTCAGCGCCCTGGTAGGCTCCTTGGAGTCCCTGGTGGGCTCTTGGGCCCAGGGCCCCCCCCCCAAGGCTTCCAGTACTGTTTCGTACTCGGGCGTGCCATCTTGCTCATGGCCTACACGCCCAGCGTTTTCTTCATGGCTTCATACACCATGTAGCTGATGCCACCCGCTGGCAACACCTTCAGTAAGGTGGGAGTCATGCCTCGGTACAGCCCCCGCCAGCCCTGCTCCGCCAGGATCTGCCGAAAGACTCCACTCATGGTGGGGTTGGAGCCCTCCACGGTGTCTGTGGGGACAGAGATAAGTTTAGAGCTGGGTTGCATTTGGAGAGGCTGGAAGGTCATTTGGGGAGTTTCTTAAGGGCCAGTGTGAATGTGTGGGTCACCTGTTGTGGGAACTTGGGGATTATGTGAGAGATGGATGTTAGCTTTGGTGATTGCTTTTGAGATAGGGTGTTCTTTGTAGTTTTGGCTGGCCTTGAATCATGTAGCCCAGGGTGTCTTTGAGTTCTGACGATGTTCCTTCCTGCTTCAGCCTGCAGAGTACTGGGATTATAAGTGTGCACAGTCATGCTCAGCTTTAGTGACTTTTTAAAGGATTGATTTGAGACCTGGGGTCAGATTGATGAGTGAATATAATCTTGGTGGAGCTGGGCATGGGTACCGTACCTATAATCCCAGCATTCTGTGAAGCTGAGGCAGGGGATCACAAGTTTTGAGTCTAGCCTGGACAGTTTCACAAGACCCTCTCTCAGAAACAAAAGGCTGGGGATGTAGCTAACTGTAAAGGACTTGAGTTCAATCCCCAGTACCAAAATAATAATAATAATAATAATAATAATAATAATAATAACGTCCTGGTGAGTTCAGGGGTAGCAGGCCCAGGAATCAGTTGAAGAGGTGGAGGAAATTCAGGTCTGGAGAAGGCACATGGCATGTGCGGTGACCACGAGGGCTGACCTTGAGCCTGCATCCTCGTGCGCACCAAAGTCAGTGGATAACTGGCCATTTGTCCGCAGGTTGTTGACAGTGTCACAGAGGACAGATTGACCAGGCTGCTGGGGTCCTCCATATCCCTTCCTGACTTCAGCCATAAGCAGTGGAGCATCTGCAGAAGAAGGGGGCAAGCATATCATTTGTGAGAGCTGACCTGTGCAGTGAGCCTAGATATCCATCAACAAATGGGCAAAGATGTGCTCTCTGTATACAGAGGGATACTATACAGGCATAGAAAAGAATAAAGCCTTAGCCCTTGCAGCCATGTGGTGGCACGGGAGAACATTATGTTGAAATATTCAGGAACGGAAAGACAAATGCCAAACTTCTCACTCACGTAGAATCTGAAAAACTTGATGGCAGGAGGCAGGAGGGTTACTATGAATTCCAGGCCAGCCTGGGCTACATAGTGATGCTGCCTCAAAAAAAAAAAAAAAAAAAAAGAGAGAGAAAAAGCAGGAAGCTGTGGGTCCCGGCTGAGGCCAACCCTGCCCTCCTCTCTGCAGGGTGTGTACCTCGTAGACGGCCAAGTCGGTGCAGGCATAGGGAATGATGCCCAGCATGTTGGGCAGGTAGCCGCGGTACAGGGCCTGGGCGCCCTCCCGCTTCCAAATCTGCCTCCCGCAGTGCAGCAACCCCGTGTACTGGCCGGTCCGACGCAGGGTCAGCCTGGTCTTGAGGACCTGGGGAAGGGGGATTCACTGAATCCTCCTCAGGACCTCAGCGCCGACTGTTGTCGCTCTGTACCCTCCAGGTGAGGGCACAGAGGCTTAGGATACCAAGAGCTGGGTTTTGCCTCCAGGTGGGTCTTGCTCTCTTCTCTGTGCCTGTTCCCTAGATCTGGGGTTTTAGGTTCCAAAGATTGTGTGTCAACAAGTCAAAGGGGTAGTGGAATAGATATGGGCCAAGGGAGGCCTGGCTTTGTGTTTCTTTTGATTTTTTTTTTCATAATTTTATTGAGAAACAAATAGCAATGAGACAGCTTCAAACCAAATTGGTAGGACAGTTTCAATAATTAACACATTGCATACATTCTTCCTAGTGGTTAATTGCTGTACAAGATGCGGACATGATATCCTATTTACAAACACCATTAGAACAAATCCCTCTATTCATTAAGAGAATGTAACTATATATCTATCCCAACCACCTTGAATACACAGATACAATATGGACATTCATCTGTATCCCCCTTTTTTTTTTTGTTAAGTTCCATTATTTGAATATTATAGGTGTGTAAACTCAGTAAAATATTCTAAAAGAGTTCAGTAGTCCATAATAGTATTGGGTCTTCCGCTTGACTGGCAATGTCAGAAATTGTTGACCTGAGTCCCCTACAGCTCAACATAACACCATGGCTTTACTTCTTATATTTCGTTTTTATACTTTTCTGCTGGATGGTTAAGACCAAGGTAAAGCAGGACCTATGCAACAAGAGTTGTAGCTTTTGGGTCTGATAAGGTCAGTGAAATTCCGTCAGGATTTATCCTGAGATCCTGTACCTCAGATTGTAGAACCTTTGTCGGTGTCAGCCATATGGATGAGTCACGGCCAATGCTTGGCCAATGTGCTCTGAGAGAAAGCCTGAGAGCATGTTTTCTCTCCATGGGACTCTTCTTAGGCACACTCTACATCATCAATCACTTTCCTCTTTGGCCCATAATCTCCTTGATCAGAAAATTTGGGACACTACCGAGTTACATGATGTTAGAGTACAAGTTCTCATATGTCCTGAGTCTTAATTGACTTTGGAAGGCTAGGGCCAAAATGTTGGCTTTCCTTGCAGCCCTCCTTTTCGTCTAATTTTGGTCTGCAAACTTAGGTTGTTAACCATCCAGAAGACAAGCTTATTGTTATTACCATACAACCTAGGCTGTTAAGCTTAACCTCGCTATCTGTCTGAATATCAAACATCTTAAGCATAACATGGAACAGGTATTTTTCATCAAGTATTGATATGTTGAACTTTAAGTCCCTATAGAATATGGTGAACCCGCGTTTCTTTTGTTGCTTTTTTTTTTTTTTAATGAATTTAGGGCAGGGTCTACAGGGTGTACAACGTCTTGTTATGCAGATTGGACTCGTAGAGGTCCTCCTGGTTTCAGCCTCCCGAGTGCTGGGATTACATGTGTGCACCACCACACCGAGTCTCAATTGCCATCTCAGTGCTCCCTGGGAACAGGACCAGCATGGCATACCAGGGATCAAACCCTGGCCACTGCGCTCTGCTAAAGCAGGTGCTTTAGTCCGCTGAGCTATCTGGCTGGCTCTTGCTTTTTTTTTTTTTCCCCCCATAATTTTATTGATAAATAGCAGTGAGACAGTTTCAAATCAAATTGGTAGGACAGTTTCAATAATTAACACATTGCATACATTCTTCCTAGTGGTTAGTTGCTGTACAAGATGCGGACATGATATCCTATTTACAAACACCATTAGAACAAATCACTCTATTCATTAAGAGAATGTAACTATATATCTATCCTACCACTTTGAATACACAGATACAAAATGGACATTCATCTGTATCCCCCTTTTTTTGTTTAGTTCCGTTATTTGAATATTATAGGTATGTTAACTCAGCAAAATATTCTAAAAGAGTCCAGTAGTCAATAATAGTATCAGGTTTTCCGCTTGATTGACAACGTCAGAAATTGTTGACCTGAGTCCCCTGCAGCTCAACATAACAGCATGGCTTTACTTCTTATACTTCGTTTTTATACTTTTATGCTGGATGGTTAAGACCAAGGTAAAGCAGGACCTATGCAACAAGAGTTGTACCTTTTGAGTCTGATAAAGTCAGTGAAATCCCCTCAGGATTTATCCTGAGATCCTGTACCTCAGAT